TAACCTTGCAATTACACCTTCCCAGGTTTTAAGTTTAGACAACCTTCTTTAAGGAGCCCAGGGCAGATTTTTGGAGTGAAATTAAAGAGCTTCTCTAAGCACTTTAGCAAAAGAACACAATAATAGATGCAGAAGCAAACTTTTATGGAGTTTAAGACCACCAAAAAAGGATCCTAGATTCAATACAAGCATAATTTAAAATTTTATTGATTCCTTCTGTCAGGACAGTAATTTCTGAGTCAAACCTAAGACTGCCATGGAAAGGAGGACGAGGGAAGGATTTTTAAAGGTGAAATATGCAAGAAGACCTTGAATATAGCAAGTCAAGACTGCTCTACTTTACCAAGACTAGGTAGTCAAGGCCACCTCAAAATAGTACTTGAATGTCTACATAAGCAGGAAACAGAAGCCACAAAGCAGTTAGTCATAGCATAACAAGCAGATGATCAGGGATATACATTTCTGGGTGGGGGTCACTGAGTCAGCATTACTGGGAATATGTCTCCCAGGGACTGGAATAAAAAAAATAGTTAGTGGGCATAGGCTAGCATAAAATGGGGTGTCTTAATATGCTGGCTAGTTTTTTTGTAAACTTGACATAAGCTAGAGTCATCTGAAAGGAAGGAACCCTCAGATGAGAAAATGCCTCCATCAGATACATCTGTAGGGCATTTTCTAAATTAGTGATTGATGGGGGAGAGCCAGCCCACTGTGGGTGGTGCCATCCCTTAGCCAGGAGTGGTCTGAGGTTCTAAAAGAAAGCAGGCTAAGCAAGCCATGCTGAGCAAGTCAATATGAAGCATCGTTCCAGGGCCTAAAGGAAAAATGCCCTTTAGAATGCAGTTGCCCTATGTTTTATTCCTTAGTGCTCCATTTCTTCCTATTTGTAATCTTTAATTAATTAATTACTTTGCCATTTTCATGTGGCCTCCTGCTCTGACTCTTTTTAATCTATGTACTTATCATGTCTCTATGCACTGTCAATGATTTCTCCCATATTCATGCCCCACATCTGCGTGCCACTTGAACAAAACCTGCAGGAATAAGAGTCCCAAATAGCAAGGTGTCAAGTGTAAGAACCAGGGATGAGAAATAGAGAAAATGGGAGCTAAGTAGGACAAAGGTAGCAGCTGATGCCTTATGTCAATCAAGTTTATTAAGACATACAACATCTTATATACTATTTTCCCTGTAAAAACTGCAAAGGTTGGCAGAGAGCTAAGTCAGACAACGTTAGAAAAAAGTACAAAGGATACTGCAGACTATAGCAACAATAGCACTGATCACCACAGCCAAGAGGGAAGAGTTAGATTCCCAGGACCTGCAACCTCAATGCCTCTGAGGCACCGGCTCCAGTGTCAGAGCAGCCTTGCCAAGTCCACTCCTGGACAAGGAAACATAATCAAAGTTCCCTTTGTCCTTCTATCAGGGCTTCTGACAAAGCCTTGTATCAGTCTGGCTCCTCACACTTTTGTAGTGGCCATGTCTGTCTGGCTCCCACCACGGAGATGAAGGGGACTGACAGCAAGCGAGGAGACCAAGTGAAGGGACAGTGTGGAGGAAGGGTGTGCACAGGAGAATAGAGGCAGATGTAGGCAGGAAGACAGGTGGGAGGTAAGGGGGCAGCCAAACCATTCTGAGTCCATGTTCTGCTAGAGTTTAGTTAAGAGTGCTTATCTATTTGAAAGATTGAACCAATCACCCTCAGAAACAGTGAAGCCAGATTTAGTTTACTCAGAGGCAGATTCTTACAGTTTTACTTGATCGTTTTTTGACAATTTCTCGCTGTATATGAACTCTAGACACTGGCATTCTCCTGTTTCAGCCACTCAAGTGCATGTGCCATCACCCATAAGTACAAGTTCATTTCTTTTACATTTGTTAATGTATTTTTATGTGTATAGATACATTGTCTTCATGTGTGTGCAGCTCATGCATGCAGTGCCCCCAGAGACCAGAAGAGGATGTCGGACTTCCTGGAACTGGAGTTATAGAAGGTTGTGAGCCTCCACGTGAGTACTGGGAATTAAATACCATTTCTCTTCTAGAGTAGTCAATGTTCTTAAGCACTATGCTATCTCTCCAGCCCTTATGTTAATTCCTTAAATTCTTGAGAGATTTTGACAAGTTTTTTGTAAATCCTTTTAGTTCAATGATTTTTGATTTTCTTATGTTCTGTTTACCTAATTAACTGTTTTGTTACATTTTTCTTAATTTATTTGGGAGCACAGCTCATGCTCTTCATATCCACCTATGAGACACTGAGGCAGAGAATAGCCTGGTTTCGATCTCTCAAGGCAGAGCTGACTGTGGGAACCCATGAACTTATTTCCACAGGACCCCACACTCTTCACTTTGACCTCATGACCACTTCTCTGGACGTGCCAGACAAGATCCTGGCTCTTGGATACTTTGATGATAAGCCCTTCCTGCGCTACAAGGGGGACAACAGAACAGCAGAGGCTTTGAGGCCCGGGATCAAGGGACATGCAGGAGCTGAGACCCAGGCAAGAGAGACTGAGGGCCTGTGGAAGAAGCAACTCAGAGCAATGGTGGCAGAGGTTGCAAGACAGATAGACCAAGACAGGGGTAAGTGGACAGAGTTCATTTCATACAGATTCAGCCCTGGTTCCTGAAGTCAGGGTGTGGGTAGGGTGTGGCTAGGCCCATTGAACAAACCAGTGGTTCTTTCCTAAGAAGCACAGGAAGAGCCCCACTCTTTGGGGGGGTCACAGGATGCACCCTAACTGCCCTGAACCCCACTGGGAGCGGAGGTCCTTGGACAAGAAGGCGACAGGTCCCTATCTGATGTGTACCAGGAAATCACACCATCCAGGTGACCTTTGGCTGTGAGCTTCATAGGAACGGGAGCACTAGAGGCTTCTGGCGCTTGGGCTATGATGGGCAGGATTCCATCACATTTGATCAGAAGACTCTCACGTGGACAATGGCTGTGCCCTCCACCCAGCAGACCAGGAACTTCCGGGAGATATATACACCCAAAGCTGCTCAGGTTTTCTTAAAGGACACATGTCCTGCTCAGCTCCAGGAATGCCTGGATTCCTCTAAGAACATTCTGCTGGATACAGGTACTGACCATCACCAGGGTTATTTCCCAGCACACAGGGGAACATTCTTGTGGCCAAGTGGCTCTGTTCCATGCTACCTGTGGGAGTTTGGGTTCTCAGTGGTGTATACAATTGTGGCATAGTCTAAGGTGGTGTCTGGAAGTTTGAGGTGCAGGGTTTCCTCCAGAGTTATAGTTGGGTCCCTCAGATGGGAAAGGAGGGTTTCCCACATGTTGCCTGGATCTCACAAAAGACACTCACATGCAGAAGAAGCAGGCCTCCTCTTTCCAATGACACCTTTTCTGATGGGGAGGTTGACATGGAGGAGGGGAGAGAACTAGATGGCCTTGGCTGGGTTCAGAGCCACCTATTATGGGGAGTTAAAAATAGAAGAAGAAAATCTGATCCCAGATCTGTGCTGCAAATTCTAATACAACCTTTCCATGTCCTGTGATCTGATAAAGGTGACCTGTCCAGCAGGCCCAGTTATTCAGGGTCTGAAGAGGTACTGCCTGAAAAGAATCATGGGCGGAAGAAAAGAAGGAGACCATGCAAGCATAAGTTTTTGTCACGGTCTCATTTTATTGAAGAAGCAGTAAGACTTATATAGGAATGTGGCAAGGAGGGCGTGGAGAGGGAGGAGGGAGCGGGGAGCGAGCATGTAGCAGCCACTGGCAGTGGGGCAACCACGATGGGCCCCGAGGCTGCATGAGCCACTTGGAGGAGGAGGGAGTTAGTACATCTGGTGCAAGCAGCTATCTCAAGAATGTCTGTTGCCTGAAAACCTCCTATGTTTCTGGCCTCGGAGCTGCTTATCTCTTCCCGGAATAGAATAGCCAGTGGTGGCAGTTGCCAGGTGGCAAGTCCTTCAAGGACCTGTAATTTTCCACTGCTCTGGATGGCCCCTTAAATTATGGCTCCCAACATAAAGGCAATTTCACTGTTGCTTAGCTCTTACTTTTGGAAAGGTAACATGCTGGCTTAAAATAATTGTAACTCCATTGCCCCTAATCAACTACCGCCTGCCTCTACCTTCCTGGTGTCATGATAATGGCATGTATCACCCCCTCTGGTACCTGAAATTTGAGGATTCAAGCTTCGGCTAAGTCTTGATAGAAAATAGTAGGGTGTCCTGGGACATCTGTGGAGGAAGCAGACAGGAAGAAGACATTGATCACCAGTTGGGCCAACTCCAGAACCGAAGAATGAGGGCAACAGTCAGCTGACTGTACTTAGAGAGTCCCTCCCTTTTCCCCTAGAGATTGGGGAGCTGGCTGTGTCATAGAAAAGAGGTACAACCCACCAAGGTTGGAACTTTAGGCCCCTTAACACTGAGCCTCTGGCTTCCTGGTGCCTGTTCATCTAAGTCCTGTGTTAGTAAAAGGAACTGCTGAATCCTAACAGCAGGGACACCATGTCCTCTCATCATCAGAGTGTAAGATAGGCATGCACCCTAAAGAGCATCTTTGGAGCTGAGCTTCAGCCTCCAATGGTCCTTTAAGGAGGTGAGTTTGGAGGTGAATATGAACAGGGGTTACTTTGGGGACAGGCTGCATGCTGAGATAGAGAGGTATCACCCTCACTAGCTCACTTTATCTTGTCTCAGGTGCCCCGAAGGTGAAAGTCACCAGCAGGAGATACCCAGTGGGCAGGATCACCCTGACATGCTGGGCTTTTAATCTGTATCCTCCTGTAGCCACCCTGGTCTGGCTTCAGGGTGGGAAGCCAGTACAGCAGCAGACCTTTGGGCCTGGGACCATTCTGCCCAGTGGTGATGGAACCTACCAGACCTGGGTGTCTATTTGGGTTCTTCCTGGACAAGAGCCAGAGTTCACCTGCTGCCTGAGGAACTGCAGCAAAAACATTGTGGACCCTGTTTTCCTTGGTGAGAAAATGGGACAGCCATTCACCTCAGGAGGTGGGAGGCAAAGTGAGGGAGAGCCTGTGGAGTACAATCACTAAAGTTTTCTTGTTGGCCTCCAGGACATCAAGACAAGAAAACTGATGGGGTCACCAGCTCTGCTTCATCTCTAGTGGCTTCTTCTCTTGGTACCATGTTGGTACTTCTATCCAGTGCCTTGAGCAGCAAGAGATAGGGTGTGTGATTGGGTGACAGGTGTGGTATCAGCCTTTTTCTTCCCTTGGTAAATTGTACAGCTAGAAATATAGTCACATAAACACTATCTTTTCTCACTGGTGAATGGAGGGTCCCTAGGTGTGGTGTCACACAACTTTAATCCAGCACACTGGAGACAGAGGCAGGCAGATCTCTGTGAGTTAAAGGCCAGCCTGGTGTACAGAGTAAATTCCAGGACAGCCAAAGTTACACAGAGAAACCCTGTCTCAAACAACAAAAAATGAAAGTAAAGTAAAGGAGTAACGAATGTCACATAAAGATGGAAAATACACAGAGAGACGGGATACTGTATGTTATAGTGTTGTCTTTGAATTGTTTGATTACTGGGAAGGAGCAACTGCTGCTAAAGGATTAATCCAACCTGTATATTTTGAAAATGCCTTGACTTCAAAATTGAAGTCTCAGGACATGATATTTTTGAAATGAGATTCTGATTTTGTTTCCACAGAAGATAAAATTCTGTGGATTCCTCTAGAATAATATGGTTTGATCAAGCAAGACTCCCTGAAGCAATGGGCCAGGTGATCCAACATTCAAAACTGAGATGATGCAGCCTCAGACTACTTCAGCTAGGATTTAGATAGGTGTCTGGGTTTCCTCAGGATCCCCTTGGGATTGACTGTACCCCCTAACATCAGGAAGCAGTTTGGGGAGAACAACACCCAAATTCCCAAATACTGTTTATAAATGTTTGTTTTCATTTGGTTATTAATGGTTAATGATCATAGTCAATCTCTTTCTAAAGAAAAGAAAGGGAATATGATATAGAAATATACTTTACGTTGGTATGAGTTTGGTTTATTGATACAAAACGTAAGGTTAATTTTGTTATATGTAAACTTCTACTCATGTTTAGGTATTGGGTTTATACAGCTCTATGAAAATATAATCTATAAAAATGCAGATTATAAATAGTTAGCTGTAACAATCACAACTTATAGTTAGAGAAAGCTAGACAATAAGAAGCCTGAGCCATCAGCCAAACAGTTTATAATTAATATAAGCCTCTGTTTATTTATTTGGAAATAAGGGTGGCAGGCTAAGGCAGGAGAAAAACACTGTCTACAGAACAGGGCCTCCCAACCAATTCAATTTAAAAATATTAAATCAAGATCAATTCATACTACTATAATTGCTTTAAAAATAAAGATGTTACAAAGATAAGAAGATATGGTATGAAAATAATAAAAAATTATAAACAGATAAGGATTATTTTAACAAAAATTCATGTATAAAGGTTCTATGGATATATGACTAGAGAATGAAAACTAAAGGGCTTTTATAAGTTACAAATATCTGAGTACATTTCGTACTGTATTGAAGAATAAGACTTAAAAATAATATGTGATATAAGTTTCCTAGTCTAAGATTAACAATTACAAAATAAATGGCTGTAATGTATTTTATATCAAGGTTCGGGCTGGGTGCTCAGGGGGAAGTTGGTAATTTCAGGGTCAGACACAAACCTGGTGTAAGGGAAACTCCCAGGAATCCACAATGATGACCCCAGAGAAGACTCCTAGTAATTGTCAATACACAGACAGAACTGGCTACTTCTTGTGACCAAGTAACACTTCCAGTGGAGGTATCTGTACCCTAACCCAGCCATTTAAACTTCAACAGACTGTCCAGACTGTTCAGTATGCTGGGGTAGTAGTGCCCAACCAATGACTACTATAGCCTCAGATCCATGCCAAGAGATTAGGCCCACTCCTGACACTGCCTAAGACCCAGACACTAGTTAGGATAAAACCAAACAAGACTGTGGGGAAAATGTCAATGTAATGAGTCCTAGCAACATTCTGCAATACTCATGGCAGAATGGGTACCTCATCCTATTGTCTGCATAGGAGCTTCATTCAGCAACTGGGGGAAACAGACGCAGAGACCCACAGTCCAACATTCGTCAGAGTTCAGGAATCCTGCTGAAAAGAAGGAGGAAGGACTGTAAGAGCCAGAGGGATCAAGGACATCACAACTAACCCCACAGAATCTACTAACCAGGGCCAATAGGAGGCAGAGACTGAAGCAACAGTCAGGGAGCCTGCATGAGACTGACCTAGGCACTCTGCATAAAGGTTACAGTCCTGTAGCTTGGTCTTCTTGTGGGACTCCTAAGAGTGAGAGCAGGGAATGTCTCTGACCTTTTTGCTGACCTTTAGATCCCTACTCCTTTACTGAGTTGATTGCCCAGCCTTAATACAAGATGAAGTGCTTATTCTTACTACAACTTAATACACCGTGTTTTGTTGATGTACATGGGCAGCCTGACCTTCTCTGAATTAAAAATGGAGGAGAGGTGTATCTGTGAGGTGGGCTAAAGGGGTTGGGGGGACACTGGGAGGAGAGCAGAGAGAGGGTACTGTGGTCATAATGTAAATTTAACTATATTGAAAAATGATTTAATGTATCAAATCAAGGTTTATTTTTAAATATCCACCTTTGAAAATACTACATGGTATTTATAAGTATCAGACTGAGGGAACTAACTGGTCTTCTTCAGTGATTCTCTACCTGTGGGTCATGACCCCTTTGAGGATCAGATTTCAGATATCCTACGGAACAACATTATGATAACATTAGCAAATTACATTCATGAAGTAGCAACAGATTAATTTTATGGTTGGCTGTCACTACAACATGAGGAGCTATATAAAGTGATGCAGGATTAAGAAGGCTGAGAACCACTGTTCCAGATGTTTCCAATATGTTGCCTAAATTGCTGTCTCTAACTATACTGGTAATTCATCCACCATTTCTATTTATTGTTGGTGGGTCTGTATGGGTGTGTCCCTCCAATCTGACTGACCTGTTCAGTCAATGACTTTG